AAAATTTTAATACCGCGACATTTCCTAAAGCTATCAAAATTTTAGTTCCGGGAAGGAAACACTCCCGGGACCAAAATTTTCGAAATTTTAGTCACGCAACACAAATACACAAGACACTTTCAAAAAGAAACGCGCCAGAAGACGAGATTATAAAGACCAGAGATACGAACAAAAAAACGGAACCATTCAATACGACGCCATTATATTAAAGAATATATATATATATATTTATATATTCAATTCTATTTCTTCGAATTATCGAAGAATTTATTTTAACAAAAATTTTTTGAAAAATAAAGATTTCTTTATATATTAAAAGAAATATTTTTTTGCATAATTAGCTTCCGACACAGAAATATGAAAATTATAATATTTGTATAATTATTAATATATTCGCGAATATTTATCGTCAAATTAAAACGATATATTTTAATAATATCTAGAAATCTCCGTGCAATTTTAAGATCTATATATTCGATACGAAATCAATAATAATATAATTTCGTATTATTTCTATTTTTAGAGATATTAAATTCTTCGTAATCCATTTATTTTCGGATAATCTCATTATATATTCCATTCTTATTTTTATTTTATCAAATAAAAATTAGATTATTTTAAAAGATATCAGGAAATATAGAGATTCCATTTTCTAAATATATATTCGATATATACCACGCATGTCAATATCCCATATGCTTACGGTGATAGAATATTTCGAGAATTCATTATCGTACGATCAGATATCGTGGCACGTAGAAATGCAAATTGTAGCGGGGGGCGAGAATATATCGAGGAGTATCACGAGAATATAGACGAAATTATTCCTAAAAAAATAGCGAGCGAGAACGAGTCGGACAGAGAATATCGTAGAGTAAAATGAAATTATATATATCATATTATTTCGATTCTAGATAAATATCGTAGAATGAAAAGTAAAAATCGAAGTATATGAATACGAGTGAAAATATATCGTAGAAATTATCATGAATAGCAATCAAAATAAAATAATATGTGTCGTAAAAGCGAACGAATATATAAGAAAGAAAAGAAATTCGTAAAAATAAAATTAATCGTAATATACTAAAAAAATATAAAAAAAATATATATAATAATAAAATATACAGTATAATAAATCCAAAGAAATATATCGAAGAATAAATGTAAAGAAAAAATTAAAAATTTAAATATAATAGATAAAATTTATAGAATAAAAATATCTCATAAAGAATATCATTTATTATAGATAGAATATTATAAATTACCTAATAATCAAAAAAAAAATTCTAAATTTAAATACCTTTTGTAAGATAAGGCGAATATCATATCGTGGGGCATGAGATAATGCCATAGAGAAAAATAAGAGAATATTTCGAAATAAATCGATGAATCGATAAAGAGATATATAGATAAATAATTCGATAGATTGAATCTATTTTTAAATTTTTTCGTTAATTACGATGATAATAAATAAAAAAGCTTGTTCTTTTTTCATGAGATATTATATTTTATTAAATATCAAAGATATAAATTGATGTGAGTTTATTATATAGTAGGAAAAGGAATTTCATATCAAAGAATAGTCTAAATTGTTAGAAATCATATGTATTGCTTCTAAAATTTTCTTTAATATTTTTTAGATTCTAGCCTCGGCTTCAGCATGCTGTTGCATGAAGTGTTTGGGACAATAATCTGGCACTGAGGATGCCATTTACCAATCTCGAGCTGACAACGCTCTTGGGGCAACCTTTCGGGACGGCCCACGCCCTTCGGTATGTGACTGCGGGGGCTGGGAGCGGCATTCACTTCGCCTTTTTCCTGCGGGGTTGAAATTAAGCACATAATGCACAGTCTTACAAAGGCCGGTGCAGGCAAGCATCCGGACTTCGGGCTTTCCTGCTTTGATGGGTGATGCGTAAAAAACGCAACAAGATGTAAAAAGTAAATGTCGCTCGTGGCGATGGGTGAAACTTCGGGATCTTAGTGGCGAGGCAGCTCAGAAGCCTTTCATGCATTCGACGTAGAACCCAGGGCACCGAGCAGTGCTTCGGCTTGCGGTCTTGTCTCATGCAAGGCGGGCTGTCACGATTCGGCTCGTTCCATTAATGTACAAGGGGTAGTGCAGCTGCTGCAGTTGCTGCTGTCGCCACAGCTGCAGCAAAATCCACTGCACGTTCTTTGTCCTGCGAGATGCATGCTCTGGAGCGAACTTCTACATGTACACACAAGCCAAGCCAACTGTCGGTCCTTCTTCGTCCTTCTGAAGTAGGCGGCAAGCTTGTTGCGGGTAGACCGGAGAAATGCATATGCCAGCCTTCGATAATGGAGTCATCAAGTCTAGATTTAGTTCACTTGTGCAAACGTCCTCCAGGAATCTCCGATGCGATTTACGCTGCTGCCGCGACACCACTCTCTCTGGGGAACTGCTTCTTCCGAGGTGACGATGTTGACACCTTCGGAAACAGGAGGTGACAGGCCAGCCCGAAAACCGTTCTCTGATGGCCAGACCTCTCTATGCACCTGCTTGGAAACGAGAACTTAGCTTTGACTGTCGGAGACAGTGCCATAAAGGATTAAGAAGTGCTAGCTCCACTGCAAAGACACCGACCCGTTGCTTCTAGATTTTAGATACACCGCTAGCCGGACTTCTTCAACCAGCCATGTTTAAGCACCCAAAAAGAACGAGTGCTTGCAACAGTAAGGCACGATCACCATTCTGGAGCTGATAAAATGGAGGTACCTGGTCAGGGCTTGCTTTAGCCTTTTACCTGCATTTACTTCGAATGTCGAACTCCACCTATGACTCAGCCTCCTTGTCGTTGATCACGGCATGCACCATGTGCAGCCCAACCTGGGCAGGGCTTCCTGCTTACCTCAGAGCCGCACTGATTTGATGTGCCGTGCCTCAGAGTGAATCTTGAACGCCGCATCCAGCGCGGTGCAGCCTCCTTGGCTGCGAGCGGTGCGGTGAGCCCTTCTACGTATTCTGCCGGTGTAAGCGTAGGCCCCAAACAGTGAAAGAGCACCTAGCAATCCAAGCCCTACATACTCAAGGAGCACCTCTTCCCAAGACACCTCAAAGGGTCAAAAAAGCGGAACGCACTGTGGTGGGAGCGCGTTTGGCACTCCAGAAAATGCAGTGCTGCAATGTGGCGAGAAGGGGGCGCACGTGCGTCGCAGGCAAACTATCCAAGTTAGTGCGGCAGGAGCCACATCCTTAGCCCCTTTTTGCCTCCCACCTGGCTAAGACGAACCTACCTCGAGACACCAAGGAGCCTTAAAGCTGGGAGGATTGTCGCCCTGCTCTCGAAACTTGGAGAGAACTCACACGCAATTGGCACGATCAAACCCTATGTTTTCCTGACAGAACCTCGTCGTGATACCCTCACACTACTTGGAGAATAAACACTGCTTGCGGGCGAGTGCGGATTGAAAGCCGAGGCACTGGAGAGATTCAGGATGGTTCCGTCTCTCAAGAATATGAAACACCTCGCCACAAGTCGGCTAACTACATGTTCCGTTTGTCTAAGCAATCATGCATGCTTGCAGCGTGGGACGGGCTCCGGATTGCAGCCCACGCAAAAGCCCAGAATGGGTTCGTGTGAGGGAGGTCACGCGCATCCCAAACTTTCCTGCCCTGACTAGGCTTCTATGCGAACCTGGCAGCATGCCTAGGCAGCAATCCTGGACAGGACGTACCAATTTGGGATTGGCTCTTCAGATTGCATCTGCGCTGAGGGCCCTTGCCTGGCTTCGACGTTCCCTTGACTTGTGCTTTTTGACTGTGTACTTCCAACATCTCTCTTTTTCTAGCCATGTGTTGCAGTAGGCGCGCACCATGATTCGGCAGTGAAATGGCTTTGGTCATGGATGTCCACACTTGGCTTGAGGCACGCGGTCAGCTTGCATTGTAGCACCGTGGCTGCTCATGCAGGTGGTTGTTCAACATGGGCATGTTCAACAGGATGCCACAGAAGGTCCAAAATTCTGGGTTGTAGTATTCTGTCTCTGCTTTGACTTAGATCCGGGTGCTTCCATTTATCCGCCGCCCTCATCTGTGCCCATGACACCGACAAGCATTTGCAGAGAGCACATTCGGGCTCGCTCAAGATCGCATTGTAGCTGTTCACGTCTGTCCTCTACTTCTTGGGCTTGTGTGGCACACTCCTCGAGAGCAACGGGCGATTATGAAAAATCCACAACACTCTGTGGAGAACTCTTTCACGTGCAGGGGGCTTGTCAAACAACTAGAAAGCACGGGGCGAAGCAGTGCAGGAGGATGCGCGTTCTTGCAGGCAAAGTTGCGCAACTATAGGTCTGACACGTTGACACAAGCGCACATTGCCGGGAGTGGTCGCAGTTCCACACACATGCAAACACATGCGAGTGCTTTCCCCGATGCCGATGCACTTAATAGCACAGACATGCAGCTGGACAGGTTTATCTTGCGGCATCAAGTTTTCCGTGATGTTGGATGCTGTCGACCGAGGCGACACGGGATAGCCCTAGGACCCAGTAACTCGCTCGGTGCATGCCTTCTGCCAAGCTCATCTCGCAAAACCTGCCCCGGTACGAGAGCACAACATGCGTATTGGCACGAGCAGATTGAGTTGTAGTGCTGCGCCTCTTCCACGAATTGCTGCGCATCAGTTCGCAAGTCTCCATCCTCACAGCAGGAACAACTTCTCTGCTGCTATCCACCCTCTGCCTTCGCAACAGCTGAAAGGTCTGCTGCGACCAAAAGTTGCAGTCAGTAGCAAGCTTTGGTCACAGGTGCCTTGTCTGCGAGCGACTCTAGCCACGCAACTCGTCGGCTGAGCATCTTGGACCTGACATGAGTACAGAAAACAGGACGGTCTCTTTTCGCATGCAACTGCCCGCATGCGACACGATCCAAGGCATGCTCTTGTGTTGCTCTCCGTCGCCGCGCAGCTCGTCTTTGTAAGTCCAATGTGCTGCCATGCCGTACCTAGGCTTTGTCCATGAGTGGGGCCAGACACAAGGCTCCTTCACACGACCCGACCTTCCAAAAGCTGTGGTGATTTGTGGACGGGACTGCACGGGAACTACTTATTCAACTCTATTTTATTGCCGGGGCAAGAAGTGTGTCTGCAACCACTACTCAACGACCTGGGAGGTAGAGTTCGCATAATCTTGATTAGATACTCTTGGCGAGCAAACTTAGGGAATTTAGCCCTTCCCCGTGCTGACGAAAGATGCTACAGTTCGCCGTCTTTGCATTGAAGAGGCAGCTGAGGCTCTGACTCAGCGACTTCATGCATCTGTCTGGTTCGAATCTGTATTTCCAATGGCACTGGTGCATCGTCATGGACGAAGGTCGCATGCAATGACTGATAACCTGTTCAGTCGCAAAGGTTTAGTCGAACTCCGAGACAGACATACATATTGCAAAAGCAAGCGATCTGAAACCCGCACCATTTGGTTTCGGGAAAGCGATGTAATTTTTCAGACTGTCGCCGCCTTGGATGCGACAAAGCCATCAAGAAGAAATGCAGGTGTACACCAAGCCGGTAGGGCATTCATAATGGCCTCGTCTTAAGCCGTCGGATGCAGCCGAAGGCGCCGGTCCAGTTGGGAAGCTTCCGCATCAATGTCAGGGCATGGTAGCAGAAACCTGCGCCTCGCTTGGCGAACTCTTCGTCACCTTCCCCCTCGAAGCGGTCAATGTCAAGAACAACTCGCAATGCAATGATGTCGTCAATATTGTCCTGAGTATCAAGTACACTGAGGCCAAGGCCTGTCTTGTGCATGCACAAATGTCTCAGTCAAGGGGCGATGTTGTTTTGATATTTTGTCTTTCTGCGCATTTTCTCCCACAGAGAATACATTCCCTTCCTTGGTTGATAAACTTTCAGCTGCGATGGTTGAGCTTGCTAGGTCCTCTTCGTCCACGCTTCTCTCTTCCCGTGATCTCCAGCTTGATGTTGTGTCTTGTGAGGGTCTCATCTTGCCTTAGAGGAGCTTCGGTCATATTTTCCGAAGATTCAGTAGCTGCTTGGGCTACGCTTTCGCTTCATTCAGACCCACCTGAGGATCTCAGAAAAATCGTGCGTGGCTGCGGCGAGAGTGGATGTGTACCTTAGCAGCGAAGACATCGCCAGAACCAGCGCTGCAGCATACCTGTATGCACGAAGCGATCTTGGCCAATTGCTTTCGTGAGCTAAGTGGCTGTGCCCGCCGCATGCTCAGAAGATTGTTGAGTCGATGAAACTCCTCGGCTTATCCCGCAGCAGAACGACTTTCTGCCGAATGCTCTTTTTCGAAGCAACGCAGTCTTCAATTAACATCTTCCGCGCTTTCTGGACCGTTGAACGAGAGGCTGTAGGGTACAGGTGCTTGAAAGACCTGCTCAGGAGCTCAGCAAACCTGACCGTCTCATTTTTTCAACAACTTTGAACTGAGGTGAAGGCAAATCCTCCAGCTCGGTTTTGAACAGCCAGACACCCAGCCGGTGTGCCAACTGTGCAAACACTACCTGTAGCAGAGAGACCCCGAGAGAGGGAGAGAGAGCGAAAGGTCGAGAGAGGAGATGCCAGGACATGCCGGCAGCTTTACAGTGGAAACGATGCAGGGAAGCTGCCAGAGTTTCTGCTGCGATGGTCTTGCGCTTGCGCTCCGGCCTCAGAATCTATCGATGGGACAAGAAGGCTCGCACTGCCTGCATCCCCAGCGATCCCGCTTCAACTGTTATAAGATCCCGCTCGCCACTCGTGCTCCCCTCGACTCTTCTTTGTTTGTATTCCAGGTGGATACTGCTTGCTTGCTTGCTTGCTTGCTTGACGGTCTTGAAAGAGGCTCACCCTCGGTCCCTCACGAGCGCACCACGGCGCTTCGCGCACACTGCCCGCCCCCTAGATCGTCAACACTTTCCTTTCCGCCCCACGGCAGCCAAACAGGCCAAGGACAGAGCCCCGGTCATTCCGGGGCCTCCTACCGCTCGTGCAAGCTCAACAAAACGTCCTCCTTCGTGGCTGGCCTTTGCCTCTACGTACTGTACTGTCCACCATGTACATAACCGCCGGCGTCGAAGGAACGAAGCGAGAAAACCCAACCCGAATTGCTGTAAGCTTCTGTACGCCACCATACGCTACCGTCAATCCGAAGGTCTTCAGGTACTGCTTTACGAACTGCATCTCCCTACCTCTGTCCAACTGCACGTGATCCTGTGTCGTAGGAGAAAACGCCGAATTCATCAAAAAGGCTTCTGGTTCTCCCTCTGCACCTTTACTTCAGTACTAACAGCAGATGCAGTCAGGTGCCGAGCCTGAACGACATATTGCAATACACATAGCCAAGACACATGAACTGGAGCGTGCGCATGTTGTGCAAGCGATCCTGAATTGTCAACTTCAATGTTGCAGGCGCTCTTAGGCATGCTATTTTACTCGGGCGCCAGCCGCAAGCTTTACCAGGATCACCCGATAATCATCAGCCATGGCTAAGAACATGTCCTTGCAGTAGCTTCATCAACGAGAAGTATTCGAGAGACTTACGACTCGATTGACGCATGCGGCCGACGATGCATCCACATGCTGAACTCTCTGATGGCAGAGAAGGCGGCTTGGGAAAGAACAAGTCTGAAGCTGAGGGCTGGTCCCTCAGGTTTTCTGCTTGTTCACGCGCCTTACTCACATCATCGGACGTTGATGAAGGCGTCTGTTTGCCAAAGAAGATGCTAAACCTCGGTGTTAATCGTCATTGCTAACTGCACCCCGCGAGTGCAGGGTCGGTGCATTGGAGTAATGACGGCGTCACTTAGCAATGGGTAGGCACCCGACAAAGACGTGTAACGTCTGCTCCAATTGCCACGCCCGCCCAATGCCGTTCGCTTGGAGGCTTTGGTCTCTCCTTCAACAATACCTTAGCGCAGTAAGCCGTACACGGTCTAGAAGGGGCCGGAGCAACCGGTCCAGGCATTCTAGTGTATGCTGGGTGCGGCGGACATCGGGCCCAAAGATTTCCTCCAAATCCTCAAAGTGAATGGTAGGATTGTCTTCGACTGTGTCATGGAGCCTCGGTATGGGAGACACAAGTCGAAACCATGGCCATCTGCAGTATACTGCATGCTGGAATCCAATCTCGAAGTGTGGAATCTTCCTAAATTGGCAGAGGCTTAACTGTCGCATCTGCGACACCAAAGGAGTTCTTATGACCCTGAATTTGTCCGGTGTCAAACTTGTGAAGCTGCAGCAGGCGCACGTGGAATCGAACATTGCCTGAACACCTGGTTTCAATCAAGAAGAGGGCCTGAAGTTGTTGTGATAATCCCTTCCAGCCATCCGAAGGATCCGATACAACTGCAGCAGAAAACCACATCGTCTTCGTTTGGCATCGGGGGCAAAGCTTCTCGATGCCCCTGTCTCTCCTTCTCTTCTAGATCGCCGTCATTAGCATTCGCAGTAGATTTCTGGTTTCCAACACACAGAGACACAGCCACACATCGCAGAACAGCATGCTGCCTTCCGGCCCGATGGTGCAGTTGACCAAAGATCTGTCCGTGATAAAGCGCGAGAACCGAAATAAGTGCTGGTTGCAACATCTCATGGATTTGGAAGGTTCGGGCCAAACGCTTGGCTTGCCGGAGTTGTGCAGTCCAAGAGCAAGCCGCCCACGATGACATCCACCTGCACCTGACGAAAAGCAGTCTCGGATGCGGGAGCTCTTGCCTTGTCACAGACGAGCCCCAACACCCTCATCCTCGTATTCTAGGAATGCAGTACCCAGCCCCCAAATGTCAGAAGAGACCAGAGGCAAGAATCTGAAGCAGGAGCCAGGTTCTAGCGCCGTGCCTTCAACAAAGCAAGAAGCTCTGCCTCAGAGCTTCGTGACAAACAACAAGTTGCGCAAGATGCCACTGTGATCGAGCTGCTACAGCCACGGGGTGCACAATGTAAGGCTCTCCAGACTTCCTCATCTGCCCATGATGTGCCAGCCTCAGCTTGTATTCTGGTTGACGTCTATAGCCACAGTATGCCAAGTTGTGCGGCATGCATTTCTGGGACTCGGTTTCAAAAGTAATATCTGTCTGACACTGTTTGAGCTACGCCACGCTGCAACACAAAGTGCTGAGAGAGCACGAAGACGGTCTTCTCTGGGCCTCGGGCTCGGCACAACCCTTCGAGGTAAGGATTGGTCGACTGCAGCAATGAGGTTAAGGGCAGCAAAAATCGCCGGCTGCTAAGGAACCAGCAAGTACATCAGCTTCGGTTCTAAACCTTCCCACAGGCGCGTGACCTTGTGTCACAGAAAGAATCGCCAACGGCCAGTGTGCATATGCACCATGGGCAAAAGATACAGGCGGCCTCGGCCATTACTTGTCCATCAGGGTCATCCTGCAAACATGGAGATTAGCAAAGGTTGGCAAACATATAAGCTTTGGACAACTCGGGAGTGTCCTCTGGTCGAGGTGTGCCCTGCGAAGCTAGAGACCAGCGCTCGACGTCAGGTGCCATCTCCCGAACATGTCGCTGGACACGAGCCTGCCACATCAAAGCGAGGCGATCGCAGGCAGCAATGCAAGTCCGTGCTACCGGCCGACTTGATATATGCGGTAAGTCAATTCCATGCAGTACTGTCTCGTGCATAGCCTGCTTCAATCTTCGTCGTCCTTGCTTTCCGAAGCACGTGAAAGTCGCGCAATGTGACAGCGCAGCGATTGCTATGCCTCGGTTTTGCTGTCGAAGCCATTCACGACATTGATGCAAGCTTCATCTGTCGCTTTAAGAACTCGATCTTCTCCGCTCGTGTTCATGCTCAGCCCAGGAGACGTTACTATTCGCGACACGCAGCAGAACCGGACAGTGTTCACTTCCAGCATAACCATCTAATGTGATTCTGTTGTGGGTCGTGCTTAACCCTTACTGTCGCCACCTCCACAAACACCCATAAACCCTGAACATGGCCGGTGTCGGAGGATTGTAGGTTCAAGTGTGGGTTCAAGTCTCAATTCATTTTGGGTTCGCACTGCTTCCAACCTCCTGTTGAGGGTAAGGGAGAACGCTCTATTATTTCATATTCCCGATCAGAACGATTAGCAACTCAGGCTCTGGCATACTAGTATGAGGATCGTCCTATCAGCATCTCTTGCAGGCTAGGACTGTGTCCTTCCAGCCACTGAGCTAGTCCTGTCTTGAGTTTAGCTCTTTGTTTCGCAGGTCAACTTTAGCAGCCTGCACGTCGTATAAGGCCTTCTGGGGCTGGAGGTGAGCCACTAATGATCGACGTTATTGAGCCAGAGCTGCATGCTGCGGCTTTTGCAGCCGGCCGTGAGTGCTCCACTCGCCGAGGCCTCAGAAACACGAATTCCCCGGAGGGAGGCCTAGACGGTATGCTCTGGCATTGCCCGACTGAGTGTGCCGCCTAGGAAAATTTGGGGATCGCGGTGTAGGAGGCTCCCAGATTAAAGTCTGCATCTCAGGATGGCAAACCGCAGCATGGCATCATGCAGCAAACGCACCTACGCACATGTCTTTCAAACGTGTGCGTAGACCAAACTTTGCTGTTTACTGCTGCAGTGTGCCGTCACATCTGGGGTTTCCTTGGTTAGCTGGAGACTGATGACCCATGCTGGTCGTGATCGTTTGAGCATAAGGAAAGCGTAGCTGACCAATGACATCTGCCCCTGGCCGAAGACTCTTTCCGAAAAAAAGACGTTGGGGGTGTGAAAGACATGAAAGCCCTAATGTGTCTGGTCAGTCCTTGCCAAACCTGACCGAAAGACTAAAGCTGTGCCGCAATGTTGCAAATACCCTATGTTGCGCACCATCTCTGAGCAATGCACTCTAGACTTCGCCATTTCCTCCTTCACAACTTTTTTCCGTGGCGAAATTACTTCCGTGGTTAGCTCACGGCGAAGGATGCACAGTAGTGCCAGCCGCTCAGAATGCCTGCGCACCGATATGCACTCGTCAACAAGCAGGCATGCAACTCATGGGCCGCAACGTCGCGATGACTTGCTTCTGTAGTGAGAACCCTGGCCCAACCTGAAACTTCCCTTGGCCTGGCTTAGCATTGGATCATACTAGAATGCTAGAACGGGGAGACTCTGTAACTGCAAGTAACTGTCACCCGGTCTACGACAAATAATCTTTCAGGCCTGGAGCGATCATGCTGCACATTCACCGGGAGAAGCCAGGACTGTGCAGCACGAGTGCTGCCATAGCCGAACACACCTCCTGCGATACCATCACCAACATCACCCGGCTGTGCAGATCCAGTAACACAGCTGATCCATGCGGCCAGACTGTGAGCGCTGGCTTCTTCTTCCACTCTCGTACCGGCCTCTAAGAAACGCTCCGCTGTCGAGCGCCTTGTGTAGACATGTCCACGACTCCTCCAGGCTGGACTCCGGACCCCAAAGAAACACCCCAGTGTCCTGTCGATGAAAAATGCGCCCAATGTGAAATATTGATTTAATTCGTAGTCGAACAGTCTGGCCGACGTCCTCTCCGATGCCAGAGGGGCAAACGTGGGTGCACAGAGTTCTCGTAGCTTGTTGACAAGACGCTCCCACTCGAAGCGTTCAAAGGACTTGGCAACTCTTTCCTGCAAACAGGCATGGTCCGTCAGGAATTCGACGGCGGTGATTGCATGTTGTGCCTGGAGCCGAGACCTGGAATAGTTCAGCATGCTAGAGACGAGACTTGGCAAGGTGCCAAACTGGCCCGAACATTCGCAAGGTGCTCCAATTAGAGACAGCGTGATGACATCCGTCTGCACAGTCCGCTCTCGCATGTCTTGCAAGATGCTTACCGCACCAAGCCATGACAAGGCCCTCTGGCATGCCTCTGCTGCAGCATTGTAGGAAACTGTGCTTGGTTTCAACTCCAGTTCCGGCATCTCACCCAAGAAACACAACGCCAGCTGCCACTGGCCAGCAGAAGCACAAGCACTGATCAAGGCGTTGCACATAATCTCGTTGGGCATCAGGTCATGAGCGCATCGTAGTGTCTCTGCCAGCCCCAAAGCCCATCGCCATCTCAACGCCTCACAACGCTCATGCTATGCTGCAATGCCATGGCAGCTATGCGTGCTGTCTTCATGAGGCGCTCCCCCCCACTCCCATACAGCCGGCCCTGAGCCTGTTTCAGGAATTATCCAGCGGCTTGACCGGTCTTTGTGAGACTCCTCAGTCTTTCTCGCTTCGGAACACATGCCTCCAAAGCGTGGCCGTGTCACGCTGGACTCGTGACGGGGCCTGCCCGTCGATGTGCTGTCAGAGTGTTGCCACTCGGTGTGCCACTCACTCCATTACTTGGACTCCCAGTCGCAGTTGTTTGTCCCCATGCTGACATTGCCTCCGTGCCCCTACCTACCGCATATATCCGTTTCAATGCAAGAGGTCCTGCAGCTTTTCATCGACACTCACCGGCCACTTGCGCACCCCTTTCTTGCAGCATGTCCCACGCTGCCAGGGCCTCTTGCTTTTTTGCCTCAAACGTCCGTGGGATTTCTGTTCACGATGCTATGAAGGGCAGACCACATGCCACATCATACGCAGACTTCGCTTCGTGGCCACTTTAACGGTGTCTGGGAGGCATTGTTTCTCCGTTCTCCTGGTGCATACTTGGTCATGGTGACGAGTTGCTTGCAAATGCTTCCCCGAAGAAGGAAAAGAGATACAGAATGATGTCGAGAGAGAGAGAGAGAGAGAGAGACAGAAAGGAGATGGAGACATGCAGCACCTGCAGTCTCGGACAGCATTCCGGAGAGAACTCATGCTGGAGGCTTGCGGACTGTCGCCCCACCTTCTCGCACGCACTGATTGTGGAGCTGGCCAGCACCACATCCAAGGGCATGCCTGATCGGAAGATGCAGCTCTTTCGATGGTTCGGAACCCAATCGCGCCTTGTGAGATGCTGAGCTGCAACAAATCCGTTGCTCGTTGCCAAAGCTGGCTTTTCTCTGTGGCAGTAACCATCGCCCCGAAGGTGACAACCTTTACAGAAAACTGTTCGGCAGTCCGTTTACTCAGGTTTGGTCTCGTACAGAACATATTCGGAACATATTATATTGCTTTCGGTCGCCACAATCGCAAGGTTGCTGCTGAGCAGCATCTGGCTGAATGGTCAGCCGCTTCATGTCCTGGCATTCTCTTGTCTAGAAGCAGGCTTCGAAACAGGAGCCGATGGCTGTAAGCCGAAGTCTCCTGCATGGTACGCATTGCCAACTCGGGCTGCAAGCCGGCCGCGCAAGAGCTGGCAGCTGCATTGAAAGTATGCCTGCAGGATTTTGCACGAGAGAAGTGAAACAAAAAGCAGGAGGGAGGGCGGGGAGGAGAGCATGAGGATCTTGTCGCAAGCAAACAGAAGGTGCAGAACAAGGCAAAAGGCAATGGCTAGCTTTCCCAATCGTACCTGTCGAGACGAAGCTGATGCTCTCGTCGAACGCGCCAGAACGTGCACAAACTTCGTTCCCACTGTGACGCCTGCAAGAACAAACAACCGCAGCTACGACGTGACCTGACTTGAAAGGATCCTGAAGAGATGCTCGAATGCACTGGCAATGAGGCATCTTCACAACATATTCACAAACGGGCCTTCTCGAATGTTGTCAGGGCCGTACTGAGCATCGTGGTGTCCTTCCTTGCGTCGGATGCCACTTTGGGTGTTTGCCTACTTCATTGGCCTGCCGGTTGGGGTTTAGGGATGTCTGGGGTCGCGGCTCCAGCCCGGAGATGCTGAGCTGACCATAAAGTCTACAGACCTGGCGATAGCACTGTGATGCCCCCAACTAGCGTTGAGTGAGTCGAACAATCAAGCGACGGCTCATAGACCCCTAGACGAGCGCTTGGGATGCAGGACATCCCTGATTGACATCTGGAGACTGGGACCTGCCCAGCTCAAGAAATGCCGATGGGATACACCGTTTGCGAAGCTACTTTGTGTGGCAGGCGGGAAACCGATTCATAGTTCCTCGGACCCGGCCAGTGCATTCTCGTAATACATCGCAAAGGAAGCCTTGTGCTCTTTCGACTTTGAACTAGTGTGTGGATGGTGGTCGTCACGCGATTGATTCTTGGCCTTGTGTTGTCAAAAAGGCGCGAAGAGTTGAAAGCTCGGCCCAGACTTGCGGTGACGGTTAGCCTTGAATGAACCTGTCTGACTTGTGCCCAATCCAGTTTTAAGGAACCGCTACACCCGAAAGTTGTCGTGATGTAAAAACGGTAGTACTACTACTAGTAACTAGTACTCGTACTACTGGCAGCACCAATACACGGCAAAGACTGAAGAACGAGTGTCCGGAGAGCGTCTGGAGCAGCGAGGTACTCATGCCTTGGACATGCTCAATTCCGAGCACGAATCGTCGGATCGTGCTTACGGCACTCTGCCACGTCCACCGAGATGGTTGTCAATTCCGAACACGAACCGTCACGGCAAAGGCCGCAGGCGCCGTTTCCCGTGACTGAACTTGAGAACAGAGTGGACGACAGCTACGGGAATGGAAGGAGCAGCAGTGTATTGCATCTCCGAGCTGATCCTGATAAGCGGCATTTAATGTAAAGTTGCAAAGTTCCTTGTATGCTGTGTTGCGAACTGGCAAGTGGCTATCCGAACAAGCTTGACATAGAATTGAGTTCGATTGTGGCATGGTCTTAAAACCTCAAACCTGCACTCAAGGACGCATGGCAGAGCTCCTTACTCATCGGGTGTTGGGGGTTCTGCTGTCTGTTTTCTGACCCCTTTGGGGTGAGGCCCTCAAGGCTCGGGGACGGCCCAAACCCCAATCGTAAACAAAGGCTCGCGCAAGCTCCAAAGGAGCGAGCTTTCTGGACATGCTGGTAGAAGGAAGGGCTGCCAACTTCGAGGACGAATCGTGACGGCACCACGGGCATAATACGTTAAACCATATTAAACAAACGAGAGGTAACCGCACGAAAACCTCAAGGCCGACCTCCCGTCATTCCATGAAACAAAACGAGACAAACCCACATCAGCAATATCACATCATGCCATCCAAACCACCTCCACGGAAAACCCCGTCGCTGCAACTACGGGAATAAAAAGGGCTCAAAGCCGTCGGTGATACCAACCAACAATCGTATTAATCATAATCTGCTGTTGGGCATCACGGCAGTCATCAATCGTTTTTCGTTTTGCTATTTGGTGCTGTGAATTATGAACCTTATATTGATTCTTGGTCTTTCTAGGGTTATGACTCTGGAACGGGAACTTGCACGGCCAGCTTACCCACGGTTCCTCGGCTTCTGCAGAGGGATTGAGGACGTCAAAAGTAGTGAGTGGGTTGACAGGATGCGATAATGGAAGCGAACATGGGCAGCTACTGTTCAGGGGCCGAAATGATGCAGCTAGCACGACAAATCTGCGGACCTCGCTCCAATGGCTTGCTCGAGAACAGGAGGCGGAGCCGGAGCCGTACCTTCGTTCTTTGGGACTGCTTCACCCTGTGCAATCGTTACAACAGCTGCGAGCGCACGAGATGATGTCGGGTTGTAGGAAGCGCCTTTTTTGCGGGTTCAGGCCTAAAGCGGTCCTTGGCCTTGGAGCCCAGCCCGGCCTCTGACGCTCCAGGATGCCCAGCGCAAGCCTGGCAAGTCCCCAGCCCGAGCTCGACTTCTGCCACAAGTCTGAGCCGGTGCCAAGCACCGGCCCGAGTATGTTGGCAGCTTCTGGGTTAAAGCATTTTCTGTCTTGTTTCTGGGCGGGTGTGACAGAGCGTCTCTCTTCTTATGCTACGGATGAGATGAGGTTCGGCTTTGCATTGTCATGGGGGCATGCCGTTTTTCCTTGCACTGGTGTTCGGGGCTATCGAGGAAGCCTACACTGTGGCTGCACAGATTTCTGCAGAATGCGCACGGTCTTTGACATGTTGAGGTACCGCTCGCAAGCAGGAGCTGGGTCACGATTCCACAGACGGGCCACCCGAGTGCCTCCACTTTTTGGGCAGGTCTGTGCTACTGAGCACCAAATTCAACCTCGAGCACAGCGAACGATGCCAGGACTCTGAGATTTCAAAACCGTCATGAACTGCTTGCTCATGAACTGCAAGCAAGTTGCGTAAATGTGTCCGCTCCAACGCCTGCCCTGAGATGCGGAAGAGACCAGGAAGCACCGGAATAAAACATCATTGAGGTTGATTCAAGGTTCAAAGGGCGCGCTGGGTGGTCAAGATCTGAGGCCGTGACTGCTCCGTGCTGCATACGAGTTGAAGAGATGCTGGCCAAGCAATCGCCCCTTCGTGTTTCGAGTTCAAGTTGTTCAATGCGCTGGTGCAAACGATTCTGCGGTTGGGGCAAGGTGCTTTGAGAAATTGGTAGGTGCTTCCCTCAAGCACAACTGCACCATTACTCTTTCAAAACAGCACAGTTTGTTTGCACGGCTGAGAAGCAAAGGAGGGGTAACAAAAGCTCCTCTACCATCTTGTGAGTTTAAGTCCGGTACCAATAGTGGAGACTTTTCGCAGAAACTATGATTTTCAACGAAACCAAGCCAGCTGGTCCCTGCACCGCCGTGCCAGGCATGCCGCGCTACATCAAGGACAAGAATTCTGCACAGAGTGCAGACGAGGCCTGCACAGGCCTTGACCGCAGCACCAAGAGCAATGACGTCCTAATACGTGGCTGGCTGCAGGAGCGAACTTCGGACCTCTTCAGCATGCAGGCTAAGCACACGGCAAGCCGCAAGCTGCTTGCCCGCCGCATCTGTGAAAACGTTACTCTGACTTCATGCACCAGCAACAAAGGAGCAGGTCGGCCTCTGACAAAACGGTCGCAACATGCTGCCACAGCCGCCGCTTGCCCAAATTTACAATGAAGCGCATAAAGTCCTGTGTCGCCACTCTTGCTGTGCTATGATGAATGATCATGCTCAGTCAGCACCGAAAGCTTGGCAGCAATACTCCACTCACATGGGTAGCAATGAGCTTTTAATCTGCGTATGTTGCATGCTGCGGTGCAGCAGTAGCAAGCTACGAGCAAAATGTTAGCAACCACACTGCATCCCGAAGCTGAGCTAATTAGCAGCTAGTTCACTGCCAAACCGAACTCCGGTCCTTGGGACTTCTCGGAAGGGTGCGAAGCAACTCCTCGATGCTCTTGTCGTGATATCTGTCAAATGACCGATCTGCGAGAAGTTGCCCGGCTAACTTGACATGTGGCTGATTGGAGCATGGCGCCTTGGCTCATGCCGCGCCTTCACCGGACTGTTTGCGTTGCCTCCGACTCCCACGAGAGTTTGAACATGTCTGGGCACGCCATGCATACCAAGCTACTGCGACATTCCACATTACGCACATGTTCGGCCCCCGAGATTCTGCAGTGTTGTGCTGTTCCCTTCCCGCTCTGCCAACTCCACCGTATTGTAGCTCAAGCAAACAAGAAAGGGTGGGAGCGTGATAAATTTCCTCTTTCCAACTGCAAAGGTTCTTGAATCATCCGAAGCGGAAACCTTGTCCGAGCCCGAGCAATCAACAACAACAACAACAACAAATACATGTTTTGTATGTATGTGTGTGTACATTTATACTCATGCATCGCCTTTCAACGTTTTCGGGCTTTCTCGTTGCTTCGGCAATTGCGCGAACAAGAGAACTATTTCCGATCGCCATCTGGCAACAGTTGCATTCATTGTGCGTAGATGTAGCGCATAATTCAGGGTGCACCAACTGCATCCGACCACAAGAACTTGCGCGGCCTTTTGGACATGATGGGATTGTGGGAACACGGTTCGGGCGAAGAAAGCAACCATCTAGTCAGAGGGCAAGCTTCCTCGTCACGGCCTTAAAGAGCAGCTTGAGATCTAGGTTCGGGGGAAGGCTTCCAGGGCGTCCAGTTCCGGCAAAGACGGTCTGCACGTTCACATGTCGTGGGACATGATTGAGATATGCGGCCATGTCACATGATCTGTGCAGGAATGTCACACGTTTATGTCCACCTGCCGCCCGGAGCTGCATGGTGCCACGCACATGGCCACTGAATGAGATGCCCCTGCAGGCTTGAGCTGGAGAACCCAGACTTCACAAGATTTCTTTGAATACAAATCCTGTTCCCATCTCCTCCCACACCGGAAGCAATGGCAAGCAAAGCTTTTGCTGCCTTCTGCTTCGCTCTCAAGGCAACTGCTGGTGAGAAATTATGTTCACAGCATCAGAGTCGTGGGACCTCCTGACCACAAAGAGGGCAAGCGGGCTTGTGCTGCAACAGCCACTCTGCAATACAGTTTTTGTGAAACGCATGACTGCAGGGCAGTTTGGTCAGTCTCTCTGTGGCGTCATACGGAGATAAGCAGAATATGCAAGACACCTGATCTACGTCCCTGGCATCCACCGACGGCAATGCAACAATGTCTGCAGGACTCGCAGAGCTAGGCGGCTGTGTGTCGAGTTGCAGTAAGACGTCGTAGTCCTCGGGTGTGATCTCACGGAAAAGTATGTCCGAGAGCTGCGAGGGCAGGAGCCCACATGGCAAGGGAGTTTCGTGGTAATGGAAGGAGGGCGAATTGTTGACGACTTCTTGTGATTCTTGGTGCAACTGGGAGCTCCGCAAAGTTCCGAACTGGCGCGCCTCGTCCCTGAAAACCTGCTCATCCGCCGATCCCAATTGAGGCAAGCGCGTCCTATTCCAAACGTCTCTTTGTGATGCGCAGTAGCTGGAAGCGCAGCTGGAAGCATATGTTGGTGTTTCTGCTTCGGACTGCTCCCAGCTTGAAGAGCTCGAGCCGCGGACAGTTTTGGCACCACGGCCTCGTTGCTCCCATCCATCGAGCCAGAGCCACTCATGTGGTTCATTGTCAAGGTACTTGCATTCATCTGCAAGGCTCTCCAGGTCTGGGGCACCCAAAGCAGGAACATCTGTCATCAAAGCGCGTGGCGAATGCTGCGGTGGAGTCGGAGGCAGTCCAGCGCAAGCCCATGCCTCCTGCATCTTGCAATCGAAATCCCAGAAGCTGGTAGAAACTGCTGGGAATGCTTTCTTAGACTCTGAGATGATGGCAACATGATTTGAGAAAGGTTGGCAAAGCCAACAGACCGCGCCAAAGACGTATCTTAGATGCCTGCTGATTAAATTTTCGCGGGAGTTGGAACAATCGACGAAGCCCTGCCTGAAACCCTACTGACTAGCTTCAGAGATGTGACACCAAGGAAACTCATCACTGTTTCTGGCCATGCCATCTGCCGGATCGAATTCCTGGACCGCTTTGCGGTCATCTGCAACTGAAGTTTTTCTTCTGTCATGCCTCATGCGCCGGACAGCTCCTACGTCACAGTGTGGCACCATGCTACAAAATAGCAGTCGCTATTATGTGATCGTACATGTTGCGCAGGCGGACGAATGTGAAACAACACTGCCAGGCCACTAGATGCCATTAACTCGTTCTGCCTCAGTTTCCACTCTGGGCAAACATGCTCAACCGGCTAGCATACAGAAACCAACGCCACCACACGCCAAGCAGCATCTGAAAACGTCAGGTCTTCAGGCCTGCGGTCCTTCGCTCCCTTGATACCTTTGATGCCTGGCAACTTTGATTGCTGGTCATCCCCTAAGCTCGAATTCTTAGCTGATAGTCAATACAACCAGTACCGTGAATGAGTAGCTGGCCTGTGGCTTCGATTAGAAGGCCGAGCACGACCCATGTTTCAGGCTTCTCCTGGCCCTTGAACTTGATGCGGCCGAAGCAGAACCTGGGCAACTTTGTGTGCAAACATTGAATTACCAACTGCTCTGCTGCTCAGGCACCCATATTCCGCACCGCGCCTGACCTCATAAACTGTGAACATCTCCTTAGTCAGCTGGCATGCTGTAATCTTTCGGACAAGCTTCCGGTAAATACCTCATCTGTCTGGGCTGATGACTCCCTGGTGAATCAAGCCCATAGGTGCCAGCTTGCCTGGCGAGGTGTGCTACATGTGTACAGCCCAAAACTGGTGATGCTGGTCGGTGTGCATAAACCGGGGCCGGAATGGCGATCGCGCATCCCTGCGAAGAGAGAGCCAAACTCCAGTTCGTCGGAAGCATAAACCATGAGGTCGCCCTGAGCAGAGAAATTCCAAACCAATGCGCCAACCCTTGCCAATTCGAGCAGTCGATGTCGATGCCAAAATCGATGCCGGTAGCATCTCCACATGCAACCAAAACAACTCAAGCCAACAAAAACAGAAGGACGACAGCATCTGAACGTAGGAGGCACCTGCGAGAGAAAGGGAGGAGCATCCTGTTCCGCACTCAGCATCGAAATCATCGAAACTCTACTGTCGCATGCGTTCTCGGAGCTCACGGCCGATCATAGCGTGGAACAACATAGCAAAACCTAGGAACGCCATGAAATGCCATGAAGGTACTGCCGTACTATACGAGGACTCTACGGCAGCTCGAGACACTCCTTTTGCTTTGAAGATGTGAGCCCGTGCAATCGCAAGAGGTTGTCCGTTGCTGCGTCTTTGCTTGTGCTGCAGGCGGAGCTTTGCAAGCTCCAGTGAGAACCATTCATATACCGTCGTCTCCACCCCTGAGCCCAATCACGACAGCACTCACAGCTCTGAGAGCAGCACACGAAACTTTTTGTAAATACTACGCCTACTTCGAAGCACTCCCATATTACACGAAGGCCTCGGGAGAAATGTTGCGGTAGATGGCTGGAAACGCCTCCTGTGACATGTGCATATCTCTGTCAGAGTTTCGTGTTGCTGCGAAACTGTAAAGCATAGCAAAGCCACATGCGCGAATCGTACGTGCAAAGCTCTAAGGTCCACAGCTGGCTGCACTCAAGTGCTGGGCATTTGCCTGTGTATTGGCCACAAGTGGTGACGTCCTGCAAACATGTACCTGCAAGGTGCACTTCTCGAAAACCGTGTCTTGCCAGATTAGCCAACGTGAATCTTCTTTGATGTGGCCTCTTTGGCTCCGGTTGCCCGAATGTCTGCCTTGGGCTTCAAAAGTGCAGCTCTGTTTTAGCAATCTGGTGCTGCTAAACATCAAAGAGCGCGGCCAGAACCTTACCACCAATGTAATCGTTTCGCTTCATAGACCACACCTCCGCCGCATGTCTCGCAATGCAGGCCGATCTCGAAATGCTATAGCAATTTCCCAGAACACAGAACAACATGAAGGTGCGCATGAGTGCGCATGGGGTCTTGAGGTCTAGGTGGAGCCCATGTTATTAGAAGCATGCGCACACTTCCAAACAAGGCCAGGGCACAATGCCTTCCTCGGAAGTCAGGCTGAACACAGTTCTGAGTGTATCAATGCAGACTCAACGCTTCCTCGGACTTGCAGCAAAGCAGCAACAGGGTAGTTTGGAAACCGAGCACGTGCGTTGTTCACGATCTTTATCCTGGAAACGGCGGCTACAAGGCACAAAACAGGTCGCGTGCATCATCATGCATCTTGAAGCTCTTGTTGTCAATGTCAGCAGTGACAAAACAGTTGAGGCAACGGCCCGTGTGAAGGCCACTCATCAGGCAACCTAAGGCTGCGTCATTCAGATGTTCCAAGACACTACTTCCCGCGGACTTAGCGCGAGTTCGTGCTTTGCGTCCTGACACCTCACGGAAAGGCACGTGCTCCTGTTTGCGTGTGCGGGCATGTGTGTCCGTGTGTGGGCGCACGCTCGCGTGTTTGTGTTTGTTAGCAGTGATGACGTATGCTGCCACGAAACGTTTACCTGTACACGTACATCTTCGGAATAAGCCAAGGCGTGCATTGCGTGCTGCAGTGTGCTGCCTCTTTGAACCGGGACAGTGATGTTTGGCGTCTAATGTCACCTACATTTCTACGACTGCAAAGCCAGAATGCCGGAACTGGCATTATCTTCCCAGTATGCAGAAGAACAACTTGCTACCTCTCCGCCGTCCTGATTCCACCATCGCGTGTTGAGTCGCAGTACAAAACGCCGGGCGGTGTCGGTAGTCAAAAGCGGAATTGCTGGGAAGTGCTGCTGCAGTCTGTGGGCATCTCCGTTGCCACGCCGCATGCGATCCTGTGGGAGAAGGCTCTTGGCAGGACCGCTGCGCAGTTCCGCTCTTTCTGCAACCACTCTGGGATTTCATCTTTCTTTGGCATATACGCATGTATTTCCCTTTGCTTGTGCAGTCCTGCTTTTTTTCTCCATGTCGTGCGCTTGTGTTAGAGAGTTGAAACACTGGCCGCCAGTTTAGTGAGCGCAGTACAACGTAAAGCCTTCGCACACGTGTCACGTCCCATGCGACTTATGAACTAGATTTTCTCAAAGGCAGGTAATCTTTTGATCATTCTGAGGTTCTCAGTGCTGCTGTGCTTTCTGTCCGCGCTCTGCTTCTTCGAACTGCCAGATCGCTCGCTCGCTCTTCCGGGTCAGAATGAGGCAGACTCCACAGTGAACTGTGTCTCGCTCTCTCTCCCTCTCACTCTTCATCTCCACGCACAGACGACTTCTTCCTCAGCTGAGCTGCCGCTTCTTCATGATCCTGATGCAGTTATTGACTGCTCGGTATTGCAAACATAGCAAGCTATGCAAGCTCTTAGCCAGTTGTGGCGTCAATGGCAGTCAATGGATTGTGGAGCCTTTCGACATCCCGCTCTGTCAGCTCTTCGTCTGCAGCTGGAATTGTGTCATCATCGTCCACCTTTTCGGCAACCTCTTCTTTGGAGCCTGCAGCGCACATATGCCAAGTATGCCATACCTAAGAAATCCAGAAGTGTCGTCGGAGCCTTTATCCTTCTTTGGCCAGTACAGCTCCAAGCGCGTCTTCTGCGTTCCGGGAACTTCACAACCTCGCCCGCGAGCGGGAGGCGACCGCATTGAATGAGACGTTTTGTTTCGGACACACACACACACAGAGCTTTCGAAATCGTTGGCCTAAGGCCCAGCGAGAGAACTCGGAGTAGTCCACGACCTTAGCAGATCGGCGATGCTGCTGTTCCTGCTGCAAGCGATGCCCTAGCGATGACATGCAGGGTCGCCCGAGCCCAGCAAAAG